GCATGAGCCAGTCCGCAGTGAAGCAGGTTGGTTAACAGCTTTGTTGGAAATTGTGTGCAGTTTTGTAGTAAAAAATCCTCTGAAAATGCCCTGTTTATTCCTCCAAGGCTCTGGATGGGTATAATTTACATTTTCCCTCCTGCATCTGGGTGACTGAGGCTGCTATAAGGTGATACTGAATTCTCTTCTCTCAGCCCTCTTTGCTGGTGCCTTTTAACCAAAATTTCTTGCTTTGTGGAGCCCATGCTGTTATTGTGCCTGCCCGATTGGTTGGGAGGAAGGCCCTGCTTGTACAGAAGAGTGCCTCTGTGAAACAGGCTAAAAATGGGTTATTTTTTTCCCCATTTAGCAGGGAACAATCGTGATCTCTGTGGTGCTTCAGTGCTTGGAGCCATGAAAGGATCTCCCATGCTCCTATTGCTTTAGAACCAGTGAGCAGTGGCCCAGTACTTCCCACAGCTCTGCTCCCATTCCATGAGCTCCTCTGCAGCATGGAGCACGTGCCCTTGGGATGGCCCTTCTCCTCTGGAATAGGCTCTTGGAACAGAATTCCCTGGAGATTTCTGTGAGGGAAAAAAAGGAAGTGGGTTGCTTTTCTCTGAAGCTGAAGCTTTGTTGTTTGGGAATGAAGCTTTAATCAAAGAAAGAGCGGTTTGAAATAGGAAAAGAGTATCCAGAGGCACACCCAGTCCATCTCTGTGTTCCTGTGTACCATGACAGTGTCACTGTCCCTGTGTTTCACACACTGCTGCTGGCTCAGGCTGTGCCTGGGACTGTGCTGTCAGTCTGGCTGAATAACTAAAGAGAACTCAATTTCTATCACTTCACTGTTAATTGTATTAATGGCAAGAAGCCTAAATGGACACCTAATTGCTTTCTGTTAATGAACGTATGACACAGCCCATGTTTTGATGGGATTACAGTTGTGCTCCTGCCTCTTGTAGATTGTGTCCCTTCCCAGTGTGTCTCTTGTGCATCACATCCGTGTGTTGCATGGATATGGGATTAGGATGCTGGTTTAGGGAGAGGTAATTATGACTGGTGCAGTCTGGTGCTTAATGCCGGTGCAATTATGATAATAAACGCCCATCGCTATGTTATACTAAATATAAAGTATTTTGGTGTCATTTGATGCCTTGGAGGAACCTTGGGTTCCTGTTTGGTTTTGCATGGGACAAACAAACGAGTCAGATTGGCTGTTCTGGGTGTCCCAGTGGTCCCAGTTTTTCCAGCCACTGTAAAGTTTTCCACCACAATTTCTCTTGAAACCACTGCCTGGGCTTCATCTACCTCAGCAGTGTCACTTGGTCATGTTCTCTTTTATCTCATGCTCCTCTGTGCTTTGTACTGACTTACTCTGGGGAAGTAAAGCCACAGTTTTTCTTTGCACTGGAATTTTTATCCTATTCCATCCTTTTTTATTTATGTGTGATTCTTTCCTGGTCAGCATGTCACTGCATTTTCCTGGAGGGTTTCTGTTTGTAGCAGTTCCGTGAAGGATTAATCCAAGGATTTTTTTCTTTTTCTTTTTCCTGCCAAAGAGGATGGCACTTTTCTTCCTCCATGTGCCCATAGCTGCAGAGCTCTGTATAAAGCTGGCCTTGGAACACCTGCTTAAGGTGGTTTTATAGTCTGGGAGGACATATGAGAAGAGAGCTTCAGAGGCAGGATAGCCTGGCTAAAGTTGTAAAGCCATCTTTGTAATGGATTTGGAAATGGAACCTAGTGTTTAATGCATAGAAAATATACGCACGCCTGTTAGAGACACTAAAAATCCTAAATGTCACAGTGACTGCAAAAAAGGATGCCTCATATTTTCCATCTGGAAGTTTCCTTTTCGTTTTAGTCCCTGGTGTGATATTTAAGAAATGCTTTCTTAAAATGTTCTGCCTCCGACTTGGGCAAACTCCGAGCTGGTTGCAATAGTGGTTGAGAGGATTAATGCATGACTTTGGTCTTACCTTGAGAGCTCTGAACTTTGGGTGTCATTTGTAGCAAGAGTTTTCTGAAAGCTTGCAACAGAATATCTTTTTTTAGCTGCTGAAAACTGTGTTATGAATTTGCTGAGACAGTTTGCTGCCATTCTAGTTTGTTTGTCTGTTGAGACCTCGTGTGTATGTGGCAGCTTTTGTGTGTGCAGCAGCAGTGCCAGGGCCTCGGGTTTGTTCTGCTCACCACTGTCTTCCCCTCTGAGCACCTCTGAGTGATTTTCCCTGTGCTCCTAGTGCCTGGCACTTTCTTACTTGTTTGCTTGTGAAGGAAATGCCTTGGGGGAAAAAACCTCTCTCCTTCACATTGCAGGAGGTGACTTAGCAGGAAGATGAAGAAAGTTCAGTCTGAATGTGGAACTGAAGCTGTGATTCCATCTACTGTGTGTATTTGTGAGAAATCTCAACTATGTGGTAGAGATGCCGTAAGCAGTTCTTAGTCAAGCAGTGACAGTGTGGCAGGTGCCTTGCACGTGCTGGTTTTGTATCTGGGTGCTGTTCCAGTTGAGCAAGAGAGACCTTTTCCTCTCTGGAGATGCTCTCAAACCATGTCCTGGGCTGATCCTGCAGCATGGGCAACAGGGGAGGCTCTATCAGGGGATATCTGCCCCTATCAGGGGATATCTGCCCCTATCAGGGGATATCTGCCCCTATCAGGGGATATCTGCCCCTGTCAGGTGAGACCCCCACCTGCAGAGCTGCCTCCAGCCCTGGGGCCCAGCACAGGAAGGACCTGGAGCTGCTCGAGAGAGTCCAGAGGAGGCACCAGGATTTTCAGAGGGATGGGGCAGCTTTACTGGGAGGAAAGGCTGGGAGAGCTGGGATTGTTCAGCCTGGAAAAGAGAAGCTTCAGGGTGACCTCATTGTGGCCTTCCAGTATCTGGAGAGAGCTTAGAGGAAGGATGGGGCAAGATTATTTACAAGGGCCTGGAGTGACAGGACAAGGGGGAATGGCTTCAAACTGAGAGTAGGGTTAGACTGGATTTTAGGAAGAAATTCTTCCCTGCAGGGGAGAAGAGGCCCTGGCACAAGTTGCCCAGAGAAGCTGTGGCTGACTGGATCCCTGAAGTGTCCAAGGCCAGGTTGGAGATAGAGCTTGGAGCATCCTGGTGTTGTGGAAGGTGTCCATGGCAGAGAGTTGGAACTATGTGATCTTTAAGGTCCCTTGCAGCAATTCTATGATTCTGTAATTCTTTCTCACTCACTTGATAAGAGGGAGTTCTCTGACTCTGATCCCAGATAACCAGCTGCTGTGGTACTGAGACATCCTGCACACGCATTATCTTCACCGTTGATCAAATAAAATGTTCCAAAACATAATCCTACTTGACCCACATAAAATGTGAAATCTATTCCTAAACTCCAGCGTTCATCATGGTTCTCTGAACCTCAGTGCAAACACAAACCGCTGTGGTGTATCTCTGGTGGAGAGGCAGTGTCAGGCTGGCTGAGCTTGGAGATTATATATGGATTGTTTTTTTAATTTGTTGCTCCTGGGAGGAGTGGGAAAAGGTTCCCTGTCATTTGGGGCACCTACATTTGTGTCCAGGAAATGACTGGATGTGGCACTCAGTGCTCTGATTGACAAGGTGATGATAGGTCATAGGTTGGACTTGATGATCTTTTCCAACCTAAATGATTCTGTGATTTTTTTATTCTGATTCTGTAGGGCAGATTCTGAGTAGATGCTGGACCTGTGCTGAAGGTGATTGTTGTATCTGGAAAGAAGGATGTATTTCAGTACTACAAACATCTGGGTGCTTGTAAGCTGAGCTCAGCAATAGCTGAGCCCTACCATCATCATTAAGGCGCTGCCATCTGTGCAGAGTGAAAAGAGCCTTTCTTGAAGCATAAAGGAAAAAAGCCTTAATGGAAAAAACAGGGCCATTCATGAAAACCCTTCAATTTCAGAGTAAATCCTGCTTGCTCCTAGCTAGAGGGACTGCAGATCCCTCCAGAATGCCTCCATAGCCATTCAGATGATTAGTTACTGCTTCTGGAATGACTCATTTTTACACAAATTTATGCTGTCTGTGCACTGCACCCAGGGAAGCAAATGTAGATTTGGCTCAGTCCTCTCATCCCCTACTCTGAAACGTGAAGGGAAGTGGCTTGGATGGAGCCTTTTATTTCAGTTCTCTCCTGATATTTGTTTCTCTGAAACTGTAACCCTGTGAAGTTCACATTTGAGAATGTTTTCCTGAAGTCTTTCTAGGAGGGAGCAATGTTTGTGGTGGTCTCACACACCTGTATTAATTCTGCTCATTTTACAGTCAGTTCCATGCTCCAGAATCCCAGTGACCTTGCACATGCTTTGTGTCCTGAAATTTGCACTGTAGTGCATCACCTTAAAGAGGAATGAAACAAATTTGTGGTGAAACTTTCAGAGCTGATGTTCACTCTAGTCAGTCCTTGTTTTCTCTCCCAGACATCCACATTTCTGCATTTAGAACTGTCAGTGTTATTAATTAAATCATCATCAGGGTTCAGTGCAGTCTTCAGCACTCCCAGTAAAGGTTTGGAGTGGTTCTTGCGTGGGATGTGGGAGTGAAAGAGGGGACGAAAGGCAAACTTTGCCTAACAGGAGACCTTCTGGCTGTGCTGAACTTTGCAGTGGGAGGAAGCCTCATCCTTCTCTGAGGAGGCCCATGGTGTTTATGGGACTAGGCTTCACACTGGGAAGTGGAGAAAACAGGAAGAATTGACCAGAATGGAGCAATATTGGAAAGAGCTGGCTTTTCCTGTTCCCTGTCCCTTCTCTGGAAAAAGTTGGAATGGAATTATCTCTACTGTAATATTTATCCTAGATTTTTGTTTTGTTTGTTTGTTTTTTTCCTCTCTTCTCCTGCTGTTGGCAGTGGCCCTCAGTACTACAGGAAAGGGGTGAATAAGCAAGTATTTTCTGTGTGTTGTGGCTCTTTTATACTCGTGAATTTAAAACTGCACAGACTTCTCCAGGAAGCACTCATTTAGAGTTGTTTTTTTTTCATTCTCTTGTGTTTTTGTTTCTAGGAAACTACTTTGCAAGTCACTTCTTTATGGGAGGCGAAAAGTTTGACACCCCTCACCCTGAGGGTTACCTTTTTGGTGAGAACATGGACTTAAACTTCCTTGGGAATAGACCAGTTCAGGCAAGTTCCTGTGTTCTGTCTGTTTTACTCTTTTCTGTTTCCTGCCTGTTTTAGAAAATCTTTTGTAGGCTTTGTAGAGGAGAGTAGCACAGACCTAAGAGGTCCTCACTGCTTGGGGAATGTCATTCCAGTCTGTTCAGATGCAAACTGAATTTTACTGAGAAGCTGAATTCACCTTTGAGGCTCATTTTCACTCAGGACAGAAGGAATTAATGGTGGGGGAAGAAGAACAGGGACTCAGGAGCACAGAATTTGGGGCTAATTCTGCCTGCCTGCCTGAGCAAGTATAAAACATGCTGCATAGAAGGCTGGGAAGCAGAGCCTGAACTTCCCAAGGGCATGTTGGGTGGCTTCCAGCCAGTGTTCAACATGTGCTGTTTTCTGTGTATGAGTGGCCTGACTGGGTGTAGGGCAGTGTTAAGACAGACCTTAACATTTTCTGGGTTTTATACCTCGGTGGGCTGCTCAGAAAGCCCCTCCTTCTCTTTTTCTAGCTGGAACATAAATGTAATTTTGGACCCACAAGTGTCTGTGAGACTGAAAAGCTACTTGCTCAAGTGATTGGCTTGTTCTTGAAAGGAGAAGAATGCTGTTGTGAGGGAAGGACAGGAATTTTATGCAAGTCTTATGTTTTGGATTTCTCTTGCATCTCAGAACTGCTTAAAAAGAACCAAAAGTAGGAGCCATTTGGAGATGTTTTCTGAGTGCTGGAGAGGAAAGGGAAGAGCTGCTTGCTTTGTTCACTGTTTTCCTAGTTGTTTCTGCAGCTTCCAGACATGAAAATGAGAACTAGAAGTCATGGTTCTCCTCATCAGAAAAGCTGTGACCATTAATAAATTCATGTTTGTAATGATTGGTGGCTGTTTGGGATCATCCCGGTCTTACAGGTGGGGGAAGCTGAGGCAAGTTGGAATTGGAGCAGTTACAGGCACATTCTGTTTTCTGAGTTTCTCCTCAGGCTGTGCCATTGGTCACTCTAGAACCACACTCAGTTCACAGGACGGACAAGGAGGAATCTGGAAAGTCTTTGTTTAAGCAGGAAGTGCAGTTTGGCAACAGAATTAGGAAGGAGGGACTTGAGCTGGAAATCTGTGGTTGTGTCAGTGGTGGGCAGGCCTGGGGGTGCGCAGCACATCCCCTGTGCCACGTCTGCACACGGGGCCCTCCCTGTAGGGGCTGACCTGGCAGAGTTAAATTACCTGCATGTCTCAGCCTGGATTTCCTTGCTGACATCCCAGCACTGGGTTTCATCATTTCTCTGGAGAGGAGTGGGTGAGAGGCCATTAACACCGTGGGACATTTGCCAAGTAGGTTTAAGAGAAGGAGGCTGTTGTGGAATATAGTATGCCTATGTAAAGTTAAAACGCTTTGGCAGCTCTGATTAATCTTCAAGGAAAAAAAGAACCACTCAAACACAGCAACAGCACTGTTTGCTGGACATGGGCCCAGTTCTTGCTTTGGAGTAACTGAGGTCTTGCTTTATATCTAAGGAAACGTGTGCTGGTGGTCCCTGGTGCCCAGCAGGCAGGTCTGCAGCTGTACAGCTTGTGATCACCACAATAAGCACTTTCCTTTGCATTTCTCACTGGAGATCCTGTGCCCACTAAGGAGAATTACAGTCTGAAGCATTATTGTCCCTATTTAAAGGACAATCTGTGAGAGAAGGTTTCTTGACTAGAATAGAATGAGGCCCCCTATCCCTGTCTCTTTTCTTTTCCAGAACATTTGCCCTATTGTTTCAGAATGAAAAGAGTTTCCTCCAGTAATCCAGGGTTTCAGCATGCCGATTAGCAGTCAGATCACTGCTTGCATGCTGTAATGCACATGAAAGAACTGCATTTCTTCTGCTCAAGCTGGAGGTGGTTTCTTTAGTGGAAATAAAAACTTGGGAGAGCAGGGTTTTCCTAACTGAGAATTCAGGGTGGAGAGAAAGACTTTGTAAAAATGCCCTTTTTTTAAAGTGTGTATTTCCAGTATGAGCTGTTTTTGGGCCAGGGCAGGATTTTCACCCTGAAAGGTGCTTGATTTATCTGTAAATAAAATCTGCTATTGCTGTTCCTCGTGGCTGCTGTACTGAGTACCCTGAAAGCTACATGCTTCTTCATTTGGGTAAATTGCATGCTAGGTAACATGCTGCTACCTTTCATAGTGTAATAACAGAAGGATTATTTGCCTCTTTGTTCCAGTTTCCCTATATAACTCCAGCTCCACATGAGCCAGTGAAGACACTGAGGAGTTTGGTGAACATCCGCAAAGACTCTCTCCGACTTGTGAGGTACTGCCATTACCTGAACCTTTCATTTTACTCAACCCAGTCATCTGTCAGCCAGAGCCAAAGTGCTTTGGTAAGGTTTTGGAGAATGGCTGATATCCAGATCCTTGTTGGTAGATATGTCCGGAGGTTTCTGTTTCACTTTTGAGCTTTCAAGTGGTTTATGTGCTCCTTATCCAAACAATCTGTGTTTCCAAACAGCACCAGTGATGTGTCTGTTTCTGCAAAAGTGGTAAACAAAGCCATGAAATCATTAGCACGAGCGGAAGATATTAGTCAGGTCAATAAACTTTACGGACAGATTCCTTCCTGCATTCCTGTGCAAGGAGAAGCCAGAAAGGAGCTGATTCTGGTGCGAGTCACGAGCCAGGAAGACTGTTGGGTCTTGAGTGAAACTTTCTCAGGTTTCTCCTGCTGCCAAGATAAAGTTTGATCCTAGTGTTATGCATTTGCTTAGGTGGCTTGTGTCCCATACATGGGGGAAGGACAATCATGGAGTTGTTACCTTTCACTGCTCCGTGCTGAGATCTGAACCAGCAGAGCTGGATTAAAGCTCTGGCTCACACTCAGACCTGCAGCTGTCCCCTTTCCAACAGATGGCTGAGGTACAGGGCCCAGCATTCAGTGCTTTGTTTGGGTCAGAGCACTGGGCAAATGTCCAGGCAGAGCATTTCCCAACCATCCTGGCTGGAGTCGCTCCGGATTGTGCGTCTCGGGGCTGGGGCAATGGCAGGAGTCCAGCTGCAGCTCCCAGCCAAGGTGGCTCTGAGAGTGTGGTGTAACGTGAGCACTTTGAGTCATAACCAAAACCCCTCCGTTTGTTTTTATGTGAAAACGTAGGTTTTTTTGGTTTTGTTTTGTTTTGTTTTTTAAATGAGCAAAACCTGTGGTTTCAAAGCTGATTGAACTTCCAAATAAGTGACCATTGGTAAACTGCTCTGAAAGCTCTTTGGTTTTTCAGCATAAGGGTGAAGTACTTCTCCAGGAAAAAAGAGGAGTATAAGCCAAGTGGAAAGTGGTTTTTTTCCCTGGGAGAGGCCTGGCTGTGGATGGAGCAATTGGTGGGGTTTAGTACACGTAGATGTGTCATTCTGCTTTCTGTGGTCGCACGTCCCATTTCTCCAAGCAGAATTGCAGCTCTGGACTATTTGGAATGTGGTGTCCATGCACCTTGACAGTACCTAGGTTTTCATCCATCTAATTCCTGGTACTAGCAGATCCTTTTCTGCCTCATGAGCTCTCACAGCCTCTTGTGCTGCTGCTGTGTCAGTGCTGACGACAACACTGCCAACATGACTCTATTGAATTTTGCACTGATGTAGACTCAAAATGAGTTTTTAATTGGCAGTCCCCAAGGGTACATTCTGTCTTGTGCTTTTCTACTCTTCTGGCCCAAAGGCTTTGTCTTCCTCCCTCTGTGCAAGTAAAGGACACTTTGTGCCCTCTCCAGCCTGGCTTATTCACAACCAGTGGTCGAGGTTTGCTCTTTCTTTCCAGAACTGGTCAATTTACCACATCCTCCACCAGATATAGTGATACTGAGCCAAGTGTCCAGGTGTGTAAGTGTATGTTCTGATGGTAAATCCCCACATTTGGTTTTTTTAATAGAATCTCAGGCTGGTTTGGGTTGGAAGGGACCTTAAAGCTTATCTCCTTCCACCCCCTGCCATGGGCAGGGATCCTTGCACTATCCCAGGCTCCTCCAAGCCCTGTCCAGCCTGGCCTTGAGCACTTCCAGTGATCCTGAGGCTTCTCTGGGCACCCTGTGCCAGGGCCTCCCCACCCTCCCAGGGAAGCATTTCCTCCTAATGTCTAATCTAACCCTGCCCTCTGGCAGTGTGAAGCCACTGCCCCTCGTCCTGTTACTCCAGGCCCCTGTCTGAAGTCCCTCTCCAGCTCTCCTGGACTTTAGGCACTGGAATGGCTCTAAGTTCTCACTGGAACCTCCTCTTCTCCAGGATGAACACCACCAACTCTCAACTTGTCCCTGTAGAAGTGCCATGGAGGAATAAAAATGTCCACTCTGACCTTCCTACCCAGCTCTGACCAAAATTCTGAGCTTTGCCAGATTATGAATTTTTACAGGATAAACAATAAACCTGTGAATTTTGGTGTTAAAGTTCTGAGTCTTCAATGTGAATTGTGTTTGATTTCTGGCAGGAGGATACTGTGAACCTCAGAGCAGGGTAGCAGGAATTTTGCTTTTAACCACTAACAGAGAAAGAATTCCTTCTATTTGTCTTGTGTCCCACATTTGGCCTTGGATTGGAAGCTTTATTTTGGAGCTCCAGTACCTGGTGTGCTGGTACTGGCTGTTCCCTCTTCTCCTGAAATGAAAGCACTTCCAGCTGCAGGAGGAAGACCAGCTCAGGAGACAATGTCTGTTCTTGCACCCTGGGACAGCTTCTCTACTTCAGCTTCTGGGCTTTGGATAGCATCATGGAACAAAAGCATTGAAGGAATCAGCAACTGTGGTGGTTTGGGAATGTGTCTGAAGCATCAGGAGTATCATGGACAATAGTCATACCCCTGAGTGTGTTGGATAAGGGCCTGAGAGAAGTGGATGGTGGGGACTGAGGTGAGACAGGTGAGTTGCAGGGAGTGAGATAAATTAAATCACTTCTCTTCCCTCTCCAGCACGAAGGGGCTGACCTTGGTCCTTGGATCTATTCATCCTATGGTGGAGGTGGTGAGGGGCTGGGACTGCCTGCTCTGCAGCCCTGGATGGTGTTAAACTGGACAGATCTTTGCAGAAACCCCAAACAGGAGAACCCCTGTGTTTGGTGATGCTCTCCCCTGTGCAAGTCAGTGCTGGCTGACTGAGAGGTGTCACTAATTCTGCTCTCATGTACTGCCTGCTCAAACACTGGGTCAATGCAGATCTCACAGCACTCAGTCAAGGGATATTTAACATTTATCCTGCATGTCTACTGTGTTGGTCAGACTTCTGAATCTCCTCAAAGGATGAAATTGTATTCGGCACAACCTTGTTCTATAAAACTGTCATAGCTGCTGTTAATTATGTTTTTATCTTTTAATTCTTCAACAGACAATAAAAATCTCCAGCATTTCCATTGTTTTATCCAGGAGTGATGTCAGACCAGGTGGCCTCAGCTCCCTTGGTCATCCTGCTTTGCCTTTTGCATCAAAACGTTGGATCAGCTGTTTGTTCTCAAAGGTGGTCAGTCTCTTTCCTCTGTACCTGTGATTGTGAAGGCTCTGTGATGCACCTCTGTGCATGACCCAAAGGCACACCCAGCAAAGTCACTGATTCCCAAATTTGTGCATGCATCTGTGGCCACCCCACATGGACACTGTCTGTAGGGCTTGGCTAAATGGGCACCATAAAATTCCAGTGGAGACAGACGAGCTCTTGAAGCACCTGAACCACTCCTGAACCACCTCTTTGTCTGCCACGTCCCCTTCAAAGAAAGAGGAATGCAAAATGTGTGATTTTTGTCTTGTTACACCCCTGATATTACATCTCACCATTCCTGCACCTTAAGGTGGGACATGAGATGCTCTCAAAGTATGCACCAAAGTAGTCTTTGCTTATTCCTTGGGCCAGCAACCATCTGTGCAATCTTTTCTCATCTGAACTCTTTGCTCTGTGGCAGGTCACAGAATCCCAGACTGGTTTGGGTTGGAAAGGACCTTAAAGCTCATCTTCCACCCCCTGCCATGGGCAGGGACACCTTGCACTGTCCCAGGCTGCTCCAAGCCCTGTCCAACCTGGCCTTGGACACTTCCTGGGATCCAGGGATAGCTACAGCTTCTCTGGGCACCCTGTGCCAGGACCTCCACACCCTCCCAGGGAAGAATTTCTTCCTAATGTCTAATCTAACCCTGCCTTCTGTCAGTGTGAAACCATTCCCCCTTGTCTTGTCACTCCAGGCTCTTGTAAATAGTCTCTCTGCATCTTTTTGTGCTGTTCATGTACTGGAAGGTTGTGACTGATTTTCTGTGCCTCCAGCAGCAGAAGGGCAAAGTCTTGCTGTGTCTGTCACCATTTAGGCACTTCTATTTTGCTGCCCTCTGCTCCAGTGGTGCTGTTCCAGGCAGACAAGGCTCAGCCTCTCCTACTTCCCAGCAGATGCATCCTTCAGAAATCTTCCCTCCAGGCACTGCAGTGGCCCCTCAGTGGTTTCCCAGGGCAACAGATCTAGTCTAGCCTAGCTTTAACCCCTTATCTCCTTGGAAGGATGGAAGCACATTCTGAGTGCTGACAGAGAGGTGCAGGGTGAAGTTGGGAGCAAGAGGGTGATCTGGGGTGCTTTTTGTGACTTCCATGAGAAGCCAAAGCAGGCAGTGGTTGTGCCAATGATGTTTGTGTGTGAGCTGCCCAGGTGTCCCCGTTGTTACTTGGTATTGTCACAGGTAACTCAATCTGTGCTGTAGCTCTCATGTGTGCTGGGTATCTCTATTTAATACCTACCTGTGCATGGGGTGAGTCTGAAGGAGCCTCTGCCTGCAAGAGGTGCTGGTTCTCCCACCCTACTGCTTCTGGAAGAAGTGGCAAGTCTATCATAGCCTGGATCCTCCATTTCCAACCTCGGATCCATGGAGTGCAGCACAGCAAGAGGTGACTTGTGCTGCTGCTCTCTTGGACACACACAGCACTTGTGAATGGGTTGTTGCCATCTGTGTTCTTGGATCAGTCCAGCACAAAATGTTGATGGTTCCAGTGTTCTTTAGGCAAATCTCCCCTTCTGCCCAGTGTTTCTTCTTTACAGCCTTCAATGATTTTCACTTTGAATGCAACTAGCTTGTGTGAAAATACCATCTTGCTCTGTACTGTATATTGTGTCCAGTTTTCTGCAGATGGTAAGACTCCAGTTCTTGGGATTTGTTGGTTTTTTTTATATGGTAATGTTGAGTGTTTTTAGCTTGATTTGCTACTCTGACCTAGGTGAATCTCTGGCAAAAGCCTCTCCAAGCCCTTCAGACAGGAATGAGGGTGTGTGCTGTAGTGGCTCACTGGGGTTACATTAGTACAAGTACTTGTGTTTGGTATTTGATTATACTGCTCTTAAATTTAATTTTGCACCTTCTGTATTAAATTACTGAAAGTGAACATTTCATTCTCGTTCAGTGTGGTGTTCAATCAAATTCGTGCTGGAACCCTCTTAATGAGGCAGCAGTTGTTATATGTCAGTGAATGTGGTAAATAAGGATTCCCTTGACAATTTTTAGATTGAATGACCCATTTCTGTGTATTTTTTACAGTACAGTGTATTCATCAAGACTGTTTAGTGAGGGGAGAGGCTGATACTGTGAAGACAGAGACGATGCCAAGCTTTACCTGAATAGTTCAGCTGTTTGGTTGTGACCCAGCCATCATGGCAATTTAGGTATTACTGATAAACAAGTGAGGCTGGAGCTGGGTGACAGGTCAGTGCTGTTACACCTCTTAAAAGCAGCCTTGCTGCCCTCACCATTCCGACACAATGCCTGAGCTCACAGTGTTCATGGGATTTGAATTTATGGAGAATTTGCTGCTGCCCTGCCAGTGAATCACATCCCTTTGTCACTTTGCTCTTTGAGGCAGGGAGAGCTTGGTCAGTTCAGGAGAAAAGGAGACTGAGGGCAGGGCTCAGTGGGGGCTGCAGCTCCTCCCGAGGGGCAGCTCCGGTCTCTGGGACAGGGACAGGAGCAGGGAACGGCTGGAGCTGGGCCAGGGCAGGCTCAGGCTGGAGATCAGGGAAAGGTTCTTCCCCCAGAGGGCTGGAGATCAGGGAAAGGTTCTTCCCCCAGAGGTGCTGGCACTGCCCAGGGAATGGGCACAGCCCCGAGGCTGCCAGAGCTCCAGGAGTGTTTGGACACTGCTCAGGCACAGGGTGGGGTTGTTGGGGTGCCTGTGCAGGGCCAGGAGCTGGACTGGAGCTCCTTAGGGGTGCCTTCCCACTCAGGATATTCTGTCATTCTGTAATTTTCTTGTGTCAGCTGCTTGTTCCAAGATCAGCTGATTTCTGTGGCCACTCCTGGCATGCCGTACATCCCCATGGCCATAGCTCACTGCCCCAGAGCTGGCTTCATATCCCTTCCTCACTGGATTTGTGCTTTTTCCTGCAGTAGGGAAAGGACTAGCCCTGGCAGTGGTGATCAGATCCAGATGTGAAGGAGCCTGTAGCCAAATTAGGGTTCACTTTTACATTAATTGAAATAACTTCTAAGCTCATACTGTTGGTTATCATGTGTCTGTTTGCAGTTAGATGTGTTAATTTTTGTTCATACGATAAATGCGTGTGAGCTCCAGTCCCCAGAGGTTTACTTGATCATTTGTACATTTAAAGGTGATTGAAATTCCTATATCTGGATGCTTTCTGAGCGAAATATCATCTTCTGTGTGATTCTGGAGGTACCTTTTGTTGAGCTTCAGGAGTTCTTTGTGTTACAGAAACTTTGGGTTTTTTTGTCTGTCGCGTACCATTTCATTGCAGAATTAAAAGAATTACACTTTAGATTTCTCAAGCCCATGCAGGATTTCTTTAGCCCAAATACTGAGCCTAATGTAAAGATTTAAAAGGAAGGAGAATGTTTCTTCTCCTCAGCATTTGATATTCAGGATCTCCCTTTCTTGTCTTATTGTCCTGGCACTGTAAGGCTGGGTGAGATCCCTCAACACCATCATTAGTTCACTTTAATAACTTCAGTCAGACCTTCCTTAGGGGAAAGAATAGAAACTTGGGAAGCCCAAGGTGGAAGCCCAGGCTGCTTTGCCTGCCCAGAGCACCAAGGCTGGAGTACTTTTATCTTTATTTCCAGAGTGATCTTGTTGATATTTCATAAAGATATGTTCTAATCCTCTGGCATTATCTTTCAGGTATAAAGATGATGTTGACAGCCCTACTGAGGAGAATGGGAAGCAGAAGGTCCTGTACAGCCTGGAATTCACCTTTGATGCAGATGCCCGTGTTGCCATCACAATCTATTGCCAGGCTACAGAGGAGTTTGTTGGTGGCATGGCCGTGTAAGTCCTGGTTTTGTGGGCACGTGGAGGGGCACAAGGGATGGTGAGCTTCAAACATCTCTCACTAATCACCCCTATGGCAGTGCTGCCACACATGGTAGAGTGGGAATTTATTTTCTTTTTCTGATAACTTTGAATATTACTTTTAATTCCCTCACATAGCCAATATCTTCTCTTGTTCCCTTTTTGGTTTGGTTTCATGGTGTAGGGAAACCATTCTGTGTGCAACAAAGGAGGGGAACTCACAGCTGTGTTTTGTGAATGAGGTGTTCTGTGAAATTAAAAAACCAGCCACCCTTCCCTTTAAATAGTACCTATTTTTTTTCCCAGATCACCCAGTTCCCTGCCTTTCTGTGTTCCCTGTGACAGGAGCATCTGGGCCATCAAAGTAAAGTTCAGTCTGACATTAACATAGCAAGCCTTGAGACCCACACAAAGCCCATTTTGGGATAAATGCCCAGCTCAACACTGGATGTTGGGAGATGGGAGAGGATTTGCTTCCTGAAACCCTGTCTGTGTGTGTTTCCTGCCATGTACACATCAGTCTTTGGTTAGCTGTGGAAAAAATGACCCAAATGTCATCTGTGGTAACCTTCTTATATCCTGACAGTACATCTCCTCCAGATTTTAAAACCTTTTTATCTAAATGAGCACATTTAAACTATTCCAGTCAACACTGTATCCCACAAGACCACGAAAAATTTCCTCTCTATGTTCAGAGCAAAGGTGGCTGGAATGTGCTCTGCCTGGTGTGAGTTGGGTGCACGTGAGCTGCTGGTATGGTGTGGTGCACTTCCAATGGCCATGGGACAAAGAATTCCTTTGGCTCCAGGGGTAAATGAAGATTCAGGCTACAGAAGCTCTTGGCTTCCTCTAGTAGAGGCTTTTGGCTGACCAGAGGCCCCTGGACATAGTGCTGATGGCTTCTGCAATGATGCTCTGGAGCTGGGACTAAACTTTGCCTTGGTTGAAGGGACCTGCAGAGGCTGCAGCAGGGAGAAGTATCTAGGACAAATCATAACAGGGCTTACTTGTTTTATGCAAAGTATAAACATCCCACTAATGATCAATGAATAGTGTATTTTTAGAAATGAGAGTGGCTTAACTCTCCAATCCAGATATGCATTCCTTCAAACTGGAGGATATCCTGATCCAGAATTTTTTGTTTAGGCACCTTTCCCTTCTGTTGAAGCCTATGGCTGCCTTTATTTTTGGGAGGTAATAAATAAGCTCCTTTTTAAAGTGCTTGAAAATGTTCTCTCAACGAACTCTGAATACACTTTCTCTTTAGATCCAGCTTTTCCTGAGCAGAGCTGAATGCAGCAGGATGCCTTAGAAATCCTGATAAAGTTTCCATGTTCTGTCTCTTAGGTCCTTAGGTTTCCTGTGAATTTAGTGCTAGTGAAGGTGTTGGAATGGCAGCCTTGGAGATTGAAGTCCTCTTTCCCTAACACAGGTACAACGTGGAGAGATGGCCAGTGTCCCTCGTGCTGCCCTGCAGTGTTCCTTGGTTTTTGACCTAAGAAGGAAACCATCCATGGGCTAATGGGGAGAACTAAGGGCCTCTATGGCCAGGGTGGATGAATTTACATTGCTAGACTTAAGCCATAGCTTAAATCAGTAAGGCTTGGTTTAAATCATTGATTTTAATCTTTTTTTCCCCTGTTGGTTTACCCTGAAGGAGAATTTCATTGTCACTGGTCAGTAGCAATGAAACATCTGCATCTATAGCACAGTGAGCTTCATATCAAACCTGGTGCTATATTTTTTATGCCACAATCTGTAAAGAATATCCATATAGTTTAAAATCTATTTAAATCTATCTTTTTAAAAAGAAACATTTAAAATTTTACTTTTAGGCCACGTTTTGAACCAGGCTGTGTTGGACTGGAATTGTACCTGAGTGACCGGCAGTGTTTGTTCTTGTTGGTTAAACTGCTCATGTTGGACTCTTAAGAGTCTCTCTTGTCAAGTTGTGCCTTGAAGAATAATTGCTTAGTATAATTGTTTTAGTTACCAAATATAACCAACTGTTTCTGGACAGAGAGTGTTTTCAGTCCTCTGTAGCTAGTAGCTCTCCTCTTGGTTGGTTGGTTGGTTGGAGGAAGAAAACACAGGTTTTGGTTCAAAGAACATTTTCTGAAACTTAGTGCCATGCACTGAGCCAGTGACTGTCACCAGTGCTGTTCTCTGTCCTTTAAAACTTGTGCAGCAAACACAAACTACCCAATGGCTTTTAAATTAAATTTGAACAATTCCTAGGTAGAATTTCTGAACATGAACAGAGCTGTCAACTTCAAACAATTTTTTTTTAATGTGAATTTTTTTAATCCACCCTGTCCATGGTTCAGTGAGAGAGGGATCTCTGTTAGATGGCAGAGCTGAAGCCTGTGTTCATGAACCCTCTGCATGAAACCAGGATCAGCAGTGGTTTCCCCACTAATGAAAAATTAGCTGATGGTTCTGTGCTGATCTGCTGGGGTGGCAGCAGTCCCTGGTGCACTAAACCTTCTAAAAGGTCAAAGCACCCACATTCAGCTCTTTTTTCCACTTCTGGCCTTTCATTTAATAAATCATACTTTAATTTCTCCATAATACAGGAATGATGAACTGCCTGGTTCTGCTCTGGGGTGCTTGAACAATAAATGTTATGTAAATGTGGGTGCAGGGGCTGCACCAGAAGCCAGGGAACTTTTTGGAAGGCATGATCCTGATTTCGTGCAGATGTGTAGGGGGGAAGTCAGATACAAATTTAGACTTTATAAGCTGCTTTAATTCAACCCAGGCTATTTTTCCATGTGGAAGTTGCTCCTGAAGCACGTCTTGGGGCCAGTGCAGCTGCCCAAGTAGGCATCTCTGCTTCTCTGGATTTGCTGGCTGCTAGTAAAAACCTTTTGAAGCTCTGATTTTAGCTTTGCAAAGCAGTTCTGTAAGGGCAGTGCTGTAATTACTTTGATTTATTCTTTAGAAATTCTAGTGGAAAAAAAAAAAATCTGGGCTGCATTCTTAGAGCTCTGAGTGGAGCGAGTGCATTTTCAGTGCACTAACAGGAATGCAGCTTTCCCCTGTCTGGGCTGGTGGATTTTCCTTTTCCTCAATCTCTTTTGGTGCTAACAGCTGCCTTCATGGAACAAGCATGTGCAAAAGCTGTCCTGTATATAAATTCAAAACTTCTATTGCACTTGATTGGGATTAAGATGCTCTTTAAAACAAAACACCTTTTTTTTTTCCACTCTCCTTAATCAATGCTGAATCCTAAAATGGGAGAAACTTTCTGGCCCCCTGTGAAAAGCAGGAATTTTCTCCCAGCTCTCAGCCTGCAGCATGGCTCCTTAGAAGCGCTAAACAAGTTATTCCTGCTTCTCTGCTGGAACAGCCACTGATCCTGATAGTATCAGCACTCCTGCAAAACTCCTGCCAGGAACGTGGTTATGGTCATGCAGCTTGGGGTGAGAGGAGGGAGGGGGGAAGGTGGCTTTCCCTGAGCAGTGGCTTTACTTGTTGTGGAGCCTCTGCTCACCTGAGAGCCACAGCGCTGTGTCTTGGGCCTGGCTTTGGGATTAGCTGGTTTCCATGACCAAGGGGAAGCCTTTCTGCAAGCCAGGAAGCTTTCTCCTGGAGTTATTTGGGCTCCATTTAAAAAGCTGGTGGCTTTGTCAGTCCTGTCCTAACCTGTCTCAAAGTATGTTCAGCAGACTTTCCCAGGTAATTGTGCTGGGAGATATGCTCAGCTGCAGTGTTTCCTAGCCAAGATCCTGGGAACACGTAGCTCCCAACAGCTGCCTGCCTCTTGTCCTGAACTGTTGAACTCACAGGGAGCTGTGTCATCGCTTTTGTGGGACCAGAGATGACCAGCAAGGTCTGGTGAGGGTGATTGTGTTCATGATTATAAAGGTGTGCTCACCTCTGCAGCCCTGTGCCCAGGGGAAGGTTCCTGTGCTTCCTGGTGCTAGTGCAGTTATCTGTAGAAGCCTTTTAGACGAAACAGAGATTAGTTTAAATCTGGAGGGGACTGCTTCTCTTACCTTTGAAATGGTATTTTGCTTGGTTACTTTATGGTGAGAACTCACTCTAAAGATTAAACACATCAGTTCTCAGAGGATGAGCTAGTGCATCACCCCAAGGGTAACAGAGATTTGTCTATGCCTAAGTCTCTTTAGTGGCAAGGAATTAGCACTGACCTGTCTCTGAAGAGCTCAAGACCTCCAGTATCTTCAGCTTTATTTATTTTTCTGTCTGTGTCCATTTTCCATAGTTTTGGAAATCAGGAGAAGCATGGGGGTATGTGAGCTGTACCTCAACTACTCACTAGTGATTGCCCATAATGTAATTTCCCTCCAGACAAAGGAGAGGGTGCTCTGCATTGTATTTCCATTGCAGGGCTGGCAGCAGCTCATAGAGAATAGTTAAAAGACTTCCAGTTGTAGCCTGCCTTCTCCTGCAGGTTCTCCATGCCCTGGTTCATGTATTTGTACCTTAGATACCCTTGGTTTGGGAGACAAGTGTGTTTTTGGAGCAGGCTGCAGAGATATTTGTATTCTCTTTTTATGAGTGCTCCACTGCCTGTGAATGCATCCCCTGCCTTGTCTGGCAAAATCCTGGATATGCACACCATTAACCTGCTCCTGGGAGTGCCCCTGGGACTTTTCCAGCTGTAGGTGTCCTGCTGACTAGCAGGAAGGATTGTGCAGTTCAAACATGACAGCAGCGGTTCTTTCCTCAGGGGAAGAAGTCAAACCAAGCCTGTAGCTGGAAGCACTTAAAAGAGCCAGTTCTGAAGGCATGAGCAATCCAGGCAGATCAGGAACTCATGATAAATATGACGTGTGAGGTTTGAGTCTTTGAGTCCATTCTTATGAAAAATATCTTCCTTTTTGAACAGAAAAGAGTCTCTCCCATATCCCAGTGCTGTTGCCAAGTTCTATTTTCTCAATATAAAGGGAAAACAGAATGAAAATAGGTCAGTCTAGCTTTGCAATCCTTGCCCTTTCCGGGGCTGTGCTGTCTGTGTTGCTGATGTGCAAATGGATTTATTAAAAAAAAAAAACCCCATTTCCTTGTTTGTTTTGCAATGACTGCTACATTCATCCCAAACCTCCTCCCACAGTCTTGTGAGCTGATGGGGGACATGACACTGCAATGATTCTCTGCTCTGTGTGCGTGTGGAAGTTTGAAGAGTTGGGTCACAAAATGAAATCCAACGAGTAGCTCAGCCCGCGGCTGTTTTCATTCAGGCTTGCGTAGGACACAGAGACACTCAGATGTTCCTTTGGTTATTTAATAGCCTCTGCCTGTTCAGGGCCTTTGAAAGGTGCTCTTGCTGCTTTTGGCTGTAGTGATTAATATGAATTCTTTGTGCAGAGATTTCTTCTGTGTGAAGAAATCAGAGGCGAGCGCTGGGTTTTGCTAGGAACGAGCCTTTATGGCTTTGATCCAGGCACACACCAATCCCCAAGGGAACACTTGGAGTGTGCAGAGTTCACAGGCTGGAGAGCCAAATTCTATAGATTTCAGCAAGCACACAAACCCTCTGTCTGTGTTAAGAGTTGTGGCCTTTGTGCCTCTCTGTGTAGCTGTTGTGTGAGCTTTGAAGCCTGGCTGGAGCCGGGAGCATGGTGCTCCCAGCAGCTCCTGGCTCTGCGGGGGCTGAAGGGGAATGTGGGCACTGGGGTCTCAGCTGCATTGGGAGAGGTTGTTTTGCCTGGCTAGGAGTGGAAACTCGGTCCTGAAGGAAGCAGGAGGGAAGGAGAAGACTCTCAGAGATTGCAGTGCAATGCCTTAGCACCTGGTTAACCTCCAAGCTCCTTGTGGGAGCCTCTGTGGGGTGGATCTCATCTAATTCTGACTGAGACCCAGGGCTATGGCCTTCCTGTAGTTTGGTAGTGTTTCTTTTATCAGTAAAAGTCATTTAGAGTTGAAACATTTGTTCAACTTCCCTCTTCCCCAAAAGCTGACCTGTGGGATCCTGCCTCAAAATGAGCAGGTGGGAGAGAGAGGAGAGGATACTTGTTCCACATCACCTTATGTCCCCTTTGAACACCAGCAGAACTTGACTGACTCCTTCTTCATCACCTCTAAGAGGACATGGAGCCTTCCAGGCAGTCACAGCCTGTGGCAGTGACAGAATTGTTTCCTGAGTACCCTCTGAAGCTCTCTTTGTCCTTGGTTCTTTCCAGATTGCCATGAAACACCTTTAGCTGCAACAAGAGGACTCTTGTTTTGTCTACAGGTTCTTCAAAGCACATATTCTTTCAGTCATTTCTAGTCAAAAGTGTTACCTAGGGGCAACATTGTTCCATGCATCCTGCTTTTCCTGAGGAATGGGGTCTGGACAGTGTTCTGTGTAAACAGATTCTGTGTAAGTCAGCCTGGCCAGGATCCTTGTGTGGCATTTCTCAGCCAGGGGTCCCAGTGTGCTTGTGGGAACAGGAACTGTCCTTGGGCTGCTTGAGAGCCCCAGCGCCAGGCACAGCTGAGGGGGAGCACAGCAGTGAAGAAATCTGCAGGAGCTGGGACTGGTGCCCTGCTGAGAACTTCCCCAGGCACAGACCAGGGGTGAGGAAGAGGGGGAAACACCCCAGTGAGCATGTAGCAACAGAAGTTTAACTCTGTTTAGCCAAACTCTAGCATGGCACTTTTGTCTAGGGAGCTGCTTAGGGTCTGCAGGTGCCACAGATTGAGTTTCTCCATGCAGGCACTGAGTGCTTCTCAGCTGGCAGAGGAAGAGTAAGACTGGGGAATAATTTTAGTTTGTTCCTGTTCTCTCAGAAATCACTGGGATATAGTCACAGGGGCACTGACCTGCTGGTTCTCTGATACACAGCTGGCTTTGGGTGTAGAAAGGTTTGACACTAGGGAAGAAGAAGTCAGTGCAGAGTGTAGTTTGCTTTTTGGGAGTAAAGGTGTGTCACGGAGCTCACAGGAGGAGATGGGCTGCAGGAACCCTGAGGACAGAGCTGGGGGCTGCTGCTGCAGCCAGCAGTGGGGGTACCTCGGATTGCTTGTGATTCTTGTGCTGTCAGGGGTACCTGAGCAAAGAAACAGGTCTAAAATATTGTGACTGAGGATTTCTGTTTGGTCCTGACCTTATAGGACAGACCCCCCTCACTTTCTCCACTGTCCTGAGCTGCCAGTGGTCACAAGAGGGTTTTGTCCTCCTGGATGGAGGCCTGGCCCAGTGCAGTTTGAGTGTGCCACAAAAGCAGCCCAAACATTCAGCTTTCATATTCATGCAGAGAGAGGCAGCATGTTGCTTCTCTGCTCTCCTTTATTCTTTGGTACATGCTCTCTTTTTCTGTAACACATCTGCACAGCTCTGCAGAGCTTCCCTTCTATTGTTTGCAGTAAGCCCCCAGCAGCATGGGCAGGGAATAGATGACTGTGGATACAGCAGATGCCAACCAAAGGGGCAGGGGATGGGTAGAGGCCCCTTAGACCCTGATATGCAGGATATCTGCTTTGAAACAGCTTGTCAGGTTTCCCTCCCGTGTAGCACAGGGCGTGTGGTCTTGTGCAGAGAACCTTTGCATCACATTGGAAGGATCATCTATTTCTGTGAATCAGTCAGGGGTCATCAGACTTCCAGGGAATTTACCAACCCACTGGCTGCTGGCTGGAGGTGTTCAGAGTTATCTGGGTGTTCAGATCCAAGTTTGAAGTGTTTTGGCAGTGGGGGCCAGGTAGTCACACAGTCTGAGGCGTAAAGCTCACTTGGGGAAGGCTCCTTAATAATTCTGTCCTACTCTTCAGTGCAGAAAATCTATGTGCCTGGCTTATTTCTTTTCCCCAGGGACGGTGAGAGCAGCAAGTCAATCTATTATTCTGCCCTGTCCTTCTTGGAAGAGTGTTGTTTGTTTTTGTGTTGCAGCCTAGTTTGGGTTTCTGGTGCTGTAAATGCAAGTCCTCCAGCATTCCTGGCACACAGCAGCATCATGTTTACACCCCTTTCCCACCTCCACTCTCTCCTCTGCACTTTATTTCCAGTAAGTTCCTGACTTGCTGTCACCTTAGATAAGTCACTCTTCCATCCCCTGCTTTCCCAGCTGTGGAGGGAGAATTGTGCCTCTCTGCAGAGCTGGGAAGCTTTGAGAGTGCCACAAAAGGAGCTAGATACAGACTAGCTCTATTCATTGTGCTTGACAACTCAGTAAATAAAACTTCACTCAATTGCTCGCTCTGTAATTCACATATAAAAGACCTGTCATTCTGATCTCCCCCTCACCATGCTTGAAATGCAAAAGATGGAGTGAGACCTTCTAGTAAAGCAGCACAATTTCAGCACAGTACAGAATGGGCTCTGAAGGTATTGTCATAGATAACTTAATGCACCTGCCTTGGTAGGAAGAGCAAAGTGCACGTGGTGAACTTGCCCTTTGTCACGACCTTTGAGCATTTAACGTGGGTCTTGTGACACTTGGCCTTCTGGATCCTCAGAGAGTGCAGGAACTGTTGTAGCTTTCCAGAGAAAGGCAAAGGATTTTCTTGTAGAGCTGGAGCCTGTCTTGTCACTGTGCTGAGGGAGGATGTTGCTGCAGTGTCTCTTGGGCAGGGGATCTCTCTCCAGTTTGTCAGTGTGCTCTGAACACACAGTTGGTAATTTGACAAGAAAGGCTTTGATGGTAAAGGCAGATTCAGCTGTTCCCACCCTGCTTTGGGGTTCACTGCCTCCTCTCCTGTGCTAGCACTGGGAGAGACTGTGCACATCCAGTTCAAGACATCATCCTCCAGAAAGGGGGAGTGGGCAGGGAAATGTCTCCTGGGGAGGACAGCACCAGGTGGGCTCAGGGTGCAGAAGATGGTGGATGGCAGCTGTGGTCCCATTCCAGATGTTTATCCCAGCCTGGCAGTGCTGATGTTTCAGTGACAAGCTTTGAGACAGTGGAATTGTGACTCTTTCTGGGTGGCTGGGGTGGAGGATGGTTGATGTCTCTCAGGTGGTGTTGCAACACCCCTGGGGAAGCACAGGAGGGATTGAGGAGCGGATTGGAATGGCTTAGCAGGATGGTGGAAGCCAAGCATCATTTCCCACTGTGGAGCTGTCCTAGGGAGGCACAGGAGAGCTTTTGGTGCTGTGCTGGGTTGTCTGCTCTCAGTGTTAGATCATAGCTCATTCTTCCTGGGTTTCCTGCAGAAAACAGGACTGTGCTGGGCTTAAAGCCAGCATTGCTAGGCCATGGATTTAGGGAGCAGGCCTTTGCCATGCTGCTGCACCCCCCTGTACTCCAACACCCAGGCAGGTCAGTATGGACACGATCAGACCTTGCCTGTCTGCGCTGCTTTCTCTTTCCTGTGCTCACCTTCTTGCTTTGACCTTCCCCTTCCCTCTTTGTGTCCCCACTGAATGGCTGCCAGCCCCTGCCAGCTCTGCCCTTAGAGCTGCCACTTGTGGTTCCTGAAAAGGCCGATGGGCGGGAGTGAGCAAGAGCTGAGCAGGGAGCAGTTGTTTGTTACAGCAAGTTTTCTTCTTTTTCCCCATTCCTTCAGATACAGCACAAAGAATCCCTCTCTGCAGTCCGAGACAGTTCATTACAAGAGAGGGGTAAGCCAGCAATTCTCCCTGCCTTCCTTCAAGATTGATTTCTCAGAGTGGAAGGATGATGAGGTAAGTGTCTTCTCAGTGTCCCTTTCTTTCTGCACCCTCTTGTCCCAGAAGCACTGGCCTCTGTTTAGTGCCACAAAGTTATGGCTGGAAGACACTTTCTCCAAGTTCCTCCAGAGTGTTTTGTGGGTACTGCTCTGGGAGGAGCAGGCAAATCAAACCAACTGTGAGGAAATCCAGAGAGGTGACTTTTGATATCACTGATCAGCTGATTTAGGAGGGAGGGAGGCTGCAGAGATTGACACTGGAGCTTTTCCTGGAAAACCTGCCTTACTTATCCTTCTTCTCCCTGCCAGCCAAAGAGCTTGTGGGAACAAATGTCTGTTGTGATCTCTGTTTTTGTGGGTTTTAGTTTTAAGATATTGCAGTTTTTTGGGTGGTCCTCTAGAACAGGGGTCTCCAAAATGAGGTGCATGCAATACAATTCATCAGGGTGTGGTGAGGACTTCAGAAATACAGGTATATAACCAACAGATGATAAACACACATATATTAGGAATATGTGCTCAAAACACATTACAGATGGGATGAATAGTCAGAATAGTTTGGAGATCACTGCTCTGAAGAGTCCTGTTCTGTTAAAGGGACACATCCTACACTATTATCTATCTGCTATTATGTAGCAGTACAGTGTAGTGAAGGGATATTCTTCTGGGGCAGATTTACACTGGTGCATCAGTGCTGAATATAGGAATGTTTTCCTCTTCTTAATTTAACCCACAACTGCAAACAGATCAGGGCTTGGTTTTAATTAAGCTTTGTGACTTTTCTGCATACCAAACGTTGTGGAGTCCTGTTAATTTTGGTATCCTTGGTATCTGCAAAATTCCAACGTGGACAGTAAGACTCTAATTTCTGAGCCTTAAAACTTTGACCCAAGGGCTTCCCCTGCACATGGCATAGGGAAGGAAACCCTTGGTCTTTCCCCTGCTCTGTGCAGAATTGTGATAAGAGATTTCAAAGGCAGAATAGTTATTCTGTAGCTACTGCTGCAGAATATGTACAGAATATGTACAGAAATGTGGACCCCTTTCCCAGGAAGTGCACACTGATAATGGTGTTCATTTCCTGACCCAAGCCTGTGCAAGTGTATTGTGTATGTGAACCTTGGTAGATAACTCTACCTATTAAGAAAATAAAAAAAAAAGACAAAAAAGGGGAAAAAAAGGGAAAAAAAAGTAATCTTTCATGTATTTGAAAGATTGAATAGCTATTGTCCTGAAGTTACAATTACAACTATAATCAGTCCCGTGCCTTAACAAATGCTGTGGTAGTTACCAAGAGCCTGCAGAGTCTGGTCTCCTGATGTCTTAGCTTCTCTGCCAATAGATGATTTCACAAGTTCAGCCTACAAAAGCCTGGAAGAGCTGCTTTTCAATCCCTTCTGTTGTCTGAGAGAGCTCAGTTCCCTTTCTTCTTAAAGAATTGAGAAGCTTAATTTTCACTTTTGTTCCTGTCAGCAAGGTTTTAACTCAAGTACTAAAGTCACATCCCTTTGACAGCTTAAAGGAAAAGTGAGTTTCCAGCTCTCTTTGCTTGTTCTGCTGCATCCTCTGTTTCCTCTTTTTTTCACTTGTGTTACTGGGAGCCAGAAAAAATGTGGAACAAGCACTTTGATTCCAAAGAGTTTCCCCTCCCATGTCAGCTCTGTGTTACATATTGGTCCTTGTCCTAAATCTTCCTAACTGGCCACCAAAATGAAGCACTGTTATCTGAGAGAGCTGGCAGTGTCTTAGCTGCATACAATTGACTTTTCAGATTTCTTTCCAGCTTTGTTATTGGTGTTGTTCAAAACCCCCAGATTTATTTCATATTTTTGCTCAGTGTAATACTCGGATATGACGTAGGTCTTGGCTGAGGAAGAAGGGAGACTAATGTTTTGTTGGATTGTTCTGTGAAAAGCTTTATAGAAGTTTATTTTATCTTCTTCATTTACTGATTTGCTAGGAAATGATAGAGTATGGCTTGTGTCGAGTGAGTTGTGTTCAGGCCCTAAAAATGAATGTGAAATGGTGCCTTAAAGAGGCCTTTTGTTCAAGAACACTGGAAAATGGTAAAGCAACCTCAGTTCTGTGATGTGACTTTCCCTTCAAATGGTTTATCTTTTGAGAGACTGGAGCAAATCAGGCTGCAAATGATGTTGGGGCTGTGGCAAAGTGGTGGGAGCCCCAAACACTGTCTGAACAGCGCTGCAGCACCTGGAATTGAGTCTCAGTTTTCATGGAGAAACTGAAAACAGATTACCTGGAGCATCAGGGTGAAATGACATCTTTTTTTTCACTCTTGGCAAGAGATGAGACAAAAGTCAGTAATTAACAAAAACAGCAGAAATTAAGTCCCTGAGCCACTTCCATTCCTGGCTTAGGACAGTATTTGTAAGGTTGCCTTTTCCTTGTATTTCTAAGATGACACAGAGCTTTTGATGTGCTTTAATGAAGTGTAGGGCAAAGGGAGAAGCCGAGACTGTTTCCTTTGCACTCAGATTTTCACTCTCACCAATTAAAAGCTCAAGGACCTGCATTTCATAACATGCCAAGAGATGAAAATCAGTCTGGTGTTAAAGTGTTATGGGAGCTTGAAGTTCTGCAGATTTTCCTCTTATGTCTTCAGGAACTTCATACCAGAGCCAGGGTCTCTTTGTGGTGTTGGGAGCACAATGTGCTGCTGTGCTAAAGCAAATATTTCCTGTTGTATGTAGGCAAAATTGTGGCACTGGATATATTTTGAGAAATTTGTCCTACTGCAAATCACTCAGAAGACTTTTAGGATACATGAATTAATGAAAATTAAATACCATTTGGAATTCAAACCTAGATCCTTTGCCTTGCTTTGCTGGTGTTTAGTGCCACGTCAATGTGTGTATGTTGGAGTTTACTCCCTTTTAAAGTTGATGTTTCAAATTTTAAATTTTTGGAATTTAAATTTTTGGAATTTTAAATCCTCCTGTTCAGTCATGTCCTTTTGAAACCAGGAACTGGGGGTCTGTCTGAAGAGCCCTGCATTGAACTAACATGATCACCAGTGCTGTCTTCAGGCAAGTCTGGTGTGAATTGTGTAATCTCAACTCATTTCTTTCTCTCAGCTGAACTTTGACTTGGACCGTGGCGTGTTCCCTGTGGTCATCCGAGCAGTGGTGGATGAAGGGGATGGTAAGAATTGCTCTTCTCTTCCCATGGTCTTCTCCTGGCTCTCTCTGAGCTTATGTGACCCCTTTCAGGACTAACCTTCTTGGAATAAAAATATTTCAGGAGTTCACCAAAACTTCCCTTTATTATCTTTGCTTGTTGGGTTTTGCTTTTGCAGTTTATAGGTCAAAGAGGGTGGAGCTGGTCTTTTCTCCTTCTTCTTGAGGGGTCAGCTGTCTTCCTAAAAACCTGGAAATGGGCACAGAAAAGGAAATGGCTTTAAAATACTCAGGTCACTCTTCAGCCAAATGCAGCTTCATTCAGCAGTTTGAAATGATGCTTTTTTGGAGGATGTTGAATGGTTATAATAGAAGAGCATAATCTTTAAGGAAAAATAATTATTGATTATTTAAAAATAGTTAATAGCTAATCATAATTCATAATTATGTTTAATTGATGATTATTTTTAAAGCACACTGCTGTTTTGGAGAGGGTAGTCCAGTGACTATTTAGATTATTGCTTTTAGATAATTACCCACCTTACATGATATTTACCTTAGGGGATGTGTGCTTTTGGGCTCATCTGGAGTATCAGCAATGAACAGGGCACAAGGAAAACACATTTTCTTTGAAACTGGGGGGTTTTATGGCCAGCAGGACCAGCATTTCTCTTCTGTAACATTTTGTACAGAATTTAAGATAATTAGAAAAGAAAAAATCCATTGTTGATCACATTGTTCAGGTCAGTCACTTGCTTAGTTTCTTATGTTGTAGATGTGAAAAAGCCCAGAAACTCATTACATTATTTTACAGTCTTCCAAGCAGACAGAAATAGAACTGAATAAGCCAATTTGGAGTGTGACTAACAAAGCACAGTGCAACATAAAGGAAATTACTTCTAAAGTGCATCTATTTTTAGTTATTTCAGGCACCCTTAGTAAAATCGACATATATGTGTATTTCTTGACCATAAATATAAAACAGCTTCCTCTGTTTATGGAACATTTGGCAAGGTGTTTATACTCTTTAATGTTGGGCATGTCTAGAAGGATCAAAAATAGAACAGGAGGCAGTATGGGAAGCATACATTTATGCACATTCCATGCCCAGTCTTAGCCAGTAATGTACTATCATCTATTTTAATAACCTAGAAAACCTTTAAAACTTTCAAACTTTTAAATCCCCTCCCGGAAAGAATATCAGCACAAAAATGTGTGAGTTTGAGTGGGATTTGAGGAAATTTTGTAATTTGGTTCTTTTTTTTTTAACTGATGGGCCTGGAAGGAGCTGGTGTGGTGTGTTTGGAAAATTACAGCTGGCCTGGAACCACTTATGTTAAATAAGGTTGAATGGTAAATTAAAATAGCAGTTGGGGAGATGCTGGTTTGGACTGAACTCTGCCATGGCTTGCAGTGTTAGCAGGTCACACCACTCTGGCCACACACACACTCCTGGAATGCACAGAGGATATGAATTGTTACCTCTTCCTTGGCCATTCAGACTGAGGGAAGGGACCTGAATTTTGTTTACTCTGAGAGACAGAGCAGCCTTGCTCTTGGCTGGCAGTGAGAGGAGCAAAGAGAATTCCCAGTTTTAACCCACTTTCCTGTATTTTGTTTTGTTCCTGATTCCAAATTGCGATGACCAACCTCAGTTACCCAGCAAATCTGCAGGCGAATCTCCCCTCTTTCACATACAGCTGTTTCCAAACATGGTCTGTGTGCCATAGTCCAGTGAATGGTTCCTCTGTTGTCTCTGCTGTTCTGGGAGTCCAAAGGAAGCTGTGGAGCTCCTTTCCCTTTTAGACAGAGCAGGAGTCTCTTCCTTGAGTTGCACCTTCTGGGCAGAGCTGCCCAGCAGCTCTTCTGCCTGTGCTGAGCCCAGCCCTCATCACTCCAAGCAGGATGTGTGCTTCCATGCCTTCCCTTCCCTCTGTGACTCCTTTACAAACTCTGTCTCCCATTTCCATATGATGAGTCTGAAGAGGATTCAGGAAAAGGATCCAACCAGCTAGAGCTGAACAGAGCCTCAGAGTGCTGAGTGAGAGAGACTGGGATTGTACCTCACCTTCTCTTCTCTCTATTTGCTGAAGGAGCCAGGAATGCAATACTGAAACCTTTGACAGCCCCTTTCACTGCTGTGGGATTAAGAGGGAACCCTCAAGTTTGGAAGAGAGAAAATGCTTGTCTTTGGACAAAGCTGGATAGGGATGTTTCAGTGTCTGAAGTCAGTATGAGAAATAAATGTTTTATAAGCATGTCTGACTAGACTGAAATAAGGTAATAAGTAACAGGGCTAGAAGTGCTGCCAATTGCTATTAAACCAGATAGATCTGTGATAAATTCAGGTAATTACGCCCAGGAATTTCAGGGGACAGGAGAATCCCACTAAGTGCTTTGTTTTACTGTCCCTTTCCAACCTCTGCTAACAAAGTGGGATAGTTTGGAGCACCCAGCACAATGAAGGCATGGTTGTGTAGGGTCCATCACAGAGCCCAGCAGGGTTTTGTTCTTGCTCTGTTCTGAGCCAACCTGATGACAAGATAAGAAAAGTTCTAAATGCAGGAGAAGGTGAAAATAGAACAGATGGCAGCTCAGAAATTGTAAGTGGACTAAAATTCAGCTCAGGGTACTTTTATGCTTGTGCTGCTTGAGAGGTTTAACCAGTTCTGTCCTTTCTTTTTTTGCAGTGGTGGTTGAGGTCACTGGTCATGCCCATGTTCTTCTGGCTGCATTTGAAAAGGTAAATGAGAGGTTTTTTTATCCCTCTCCCTGTTCTTGTGTATGTAAACATTTCCACAGGTCATTAGTTTGTATTTATATAACACTTGGCAAAGACGAGTCCTGGCCTGTGATTTGGGTTCCTGGGTGCTGCTGTACTACCAAGAATCATTTGCAGCAGCTCCTGTGCAGCCTGTAATTATCATTTGTACCTGAGCTGGTCACTCAGAGAACAGCAGGGGTGTTTCCTGTGTGTGGAGAGGGTGTGTTCCTCCCGTGGAGGGTGGAAGGTGCTGACCATGGCTGCTGCCATGCAGTTTTCCAGGGTTTCATGATATTTGCAGAACTGGATCTGCTGTGTTCAGACCCTGTTGCACCAATGTTAGCCTGAGTTTACACACAGGACCAAGGCCTCTTGGAAGGATTGGCATGCATCCTGTGTAAAGGCTGAGTTCCACTGCTTCTGAGTGGTGTGTTTGATGTAACTGAACCCTGCCTACATGGTAGGGCCAAGCTGTGTGCACAAGCCTTGATAACAAACTTTCTTCCCTTGGAAACTGGACCCTGAAAACAAATGCAATATCCATAACTGGACCTATCCATAGCATAACCCTGTTGTGTCTGATAGTGCTAATACTGCAGACACATTTTCTGGGCAGATGATACTTGTAGTGACATGCTGAGGTGAGGCAAGAGGTGCTGGAGCAGAGCTGGAAGTGTAGAGGGAGCAGCATCAGTGCTATGCTGCTTGGAAATTCTCCACTTCCCAGCTGGCAAGTGGCTGACTTCTGTATCTCAGTGTGCCTGGTTCCTGCCAGGTCCTAATTCTGTTCCTCCAAGGTGGATAATGTAGATGATGACAAGCTGAGTCAGAGGGCATGGCAAGCACAGTCAGTCCTAAGGAAGCATATGGCTGGAAGATGCTCTAAGTGTTCTAGGTTGCTTTTTTTGTTGGACTTGGTCTGTGAAGAAAGTGAGTTTTCCCCTGTTAGAAAGGCTGCTCTTAGCATTTGCTTTGTTGGTAGCTTTACTCCTGCAATTTCCTGTCAGAAATGAGATGGAGTCAGCTGCAGCACCCCTAGGACCAGGGCAGGGATGTTACTGGAGTTTCCTCTGGCTGATGTGAAAAAACAACACACTGGAATCCTTCAGTCATAGTTCAGCCACTTCTTACCTCTCATCTTCCACTGAATGCTCAAAACAAGATTAAAATCTCTCTTTTAATAAAAAGTCACAGGCAAAGTACATGTTGAGTTCCTCATCCTCCCTGTTTGGTTAAAATATATTCCCCATCCTTAAAGTAATTGCAGCTTTTGAAGTCTAGGTCCATAAATCCAGGGGAGGTCCTTGATAAATGAGCACTGCTGATCCCCAGAGCTTGTTCAGAAGGAAAACAGACCAGCAGGACTTTGTAACTTGCTATGTATGTATCTTTAAGATCAGAAGAATAACCTTGATCCTGTGTGTAGTCTGACCTTGCAGCTCCTCCAAAGGCAGAAACTTGTTTGCCTGAAAACAGGACTGTTTTGTCTGTGCTGCAATGCTGTTGTCCCTTCCTTCTGAAACTCCTTCAGCAAACAGATGCAGATTTGCAGCTGCTCACAGGACCTGCTGGAGCATCCTCTGATGCTGCTCCCTAGGCTATGGCAGGGGAGTTCATTTCTTTCAGTGTAGTAGCCCTTGTGGATAATGGGGAAAGTACAACTGGCACCCTACTCCCATCATTAATTCTGGCACCAAGCACACACAGAATTGTTCCAGCTGTGCTTGCTGCTACTGAGCAAATGAAAGGCTCCACAGCTCTGAGGATGTGAGCACATGGGACTTGTTTCTGACTCCATTTAGTGGACAAACCTTGTTCTCAGCCTTATGGCAGCCCCTTGCTCTGCCAGGGCTTTGGCCTCTAGTGATTCTGTCACTTGGTGCTATTTTGGGTGTTAACAAATATCCCTGCCAAGTCTTGCTGGACTGGCTGAAGAAGTGTCTGCACCCAGTTGGACCTGAAAGTATCCAGTATGCCAGGGGAGTTTTGTGGGGGCTCTGACCCACTTCAGCCAGGTTTAACTCGAGCCAAGTCCACGTGGCTCTGCACTGGAGCAGACCAGTAGCTCTCCAATATCCTGTTCCACTAACTCTGCTGTGGGGCACTGCTGCCATCCAGGCTGTCCTGCTGATACACACCCTACTCTCCCCTTAGCCAGCAGACACCAGCTCTGAAACAAGCCCCTTCTGATTTGTACACTCCAGCTATTTAATGCTTTCATGTCTTTTTTTTTCTCTGCTAGCACGTTGATGGCAGTTTTTCTGTGAAACCGCTAAAACAGAAGCAAATTGTAAGTACTTGTTTCCTTTCTACTCTTGGTTAAAGACTTGCTGGTGTCCCACAGGTGCCTGGCTGTACCCAGTGGGAAGCTTTGGTGTTCACTGGGAGCCTGAGATCTCACCTTCTTAGCTCAGATCTTGTAAGCAAAGGCAGCGAGGTGCTGGCCACCCTTAATTTTGCAGTTTTGTCCCCCATCCTGGTCTGGTGTGATATGCAGAAGCTGGGTAGTGTCTTACAAAGACTGAGGTTGCATCCAGTCCTGCATAACCAGAAATACATAAGCAACTGCAAGCTACTAAGATTGCCAAGAATTTCAGCTTCTGAAAAGAAATCTGGTAGTGATTCTGCTGCAAGGATCAGCTTGAAATGTCTTCAGGAAAGAGATGAAATTTTGGTGGTTGATCCTTTGTGCTTTAGCTGTGTGCTGTATTTTAGCTTTAAATGGGTTTCACTTCATCTGCTTACTTGGTAGCTAGGAGTTTCTGATTTGAATTAAGTACCTTTTGTTACAAAGAAGGTCATTAAGCGCCTTAATAAGACACTCTTTGCTCCAAGATGTTCATTCCAATCCCTGGGTCAGAAAAGAACTACAAGCAGTATCAGTAATCATAGCTCAAGATGGCATTTAGAAAAACACACAGCACCACTGAAACTGAGATAGCATCTGCACCCTTAGGAGAGCAGAGCAGAGGTGTAGAGTCTATGTCTGGAGTAAACCATCTGTGTAACATTGTACATTCTTTGCCATTCCTGCTTTTCTTTTGCCTTCCCCTCCCTGCACTGCCAGGGCTGTGGGTGCCTTTTGTGGGCATTGATCAAGAAGCAGCAGTGCATGAGCTGAACTGCTCTGTGCTGAGATCAGTTGTAGTGTAAGCACCAACATGTCTGCAGAAAGTCAGCATGGATGAATACAAATAGATGGGTCAGCAGAAAACCATGACCTGGACTTGGCCAGTGGCTCCATGTGCATCTGCTGAGGCTGTAAATAGCAGCAGAAACCTTTGGAAGGATGACATGGTGTGGGATGGGTTGGAGAAGCATGAAGGTGAAGCACTGTGTACAGCTACCTGCTCCTTCTGAATTACTCCCACTCTGAAAACCTAGAGTTCTTCCCAGGAAGAGCTTTGTTGCACTGTTCACCCTTTCCCTACTGGGATAGAAGCTCCTCAGGATTTTTAGAGGGAAGAAGTCAAAAGGAACACAGATTCCTGCAGGGACTTGGGCCTCTTTCTTCCTGACCTCTTCTGTGCTTTGAGCTGACAACTTCTGCACTCACAGTCACTCATCATGATTCTCTGAGGAGTCAGGATGCTGGAACAAGGCTCTCTTTGAAATGCCAAGTTACAAAAGAACATCTCCCACATAATTGTTCCCAAACTTCCTGGGTGAGTTGTGAGCCACTGCAGAGGGTTTTGCTCAGCAGTCCAACAGCTGATCTCATTGTCATGAAATGCAGGCCTAGAACAGATTGTCTGTGAGCTGCACACTGAGTTACACAGGGAGACTCTGGAATTGGTTTGTTATCACTGCTGTGTCCCAGCTCAGAGCATTTCTGAACTGGCAAATGGGCTGGGCAAAGCCACTCTTCTTCTAAGCAGTGACAAGAGGAGAGGAGAGAGGCCAGTTTGACATGGAAATTACAGAGGCACTGGGATTGTTGAGCTCTTTTTAGTGCTGGGGTGTTGGTGGCTTGGCTTGACTGCACGTTGGGAGCTGGACAGCTACTGGAGATGGCAGGAAACTGTTTCCTCCCACTTTTTGTGAGATGTGCCTCTTTGGTACCTTGCAACCACCCTTTTACCTGTCATGAGGGTTTCTGTGGAGGAGCACATCCTGCTCTGGGGAAGCTGCTGTGTAGCAACAGATCACAGAATCATTTGGGTTGGGGAAGAGCTGCAAGATCATCAAGTCCAGCCTGTGACTGATCACCACCATGCCACCCAGACCAGTTATTCCTTGAACACCTCCAGGGATGGTGACTCCACCACCTCCCTGGGCAGCCTCTTCCAATGTTTAACAACCCTTTCTCTGAAGGAATTCCTCCTGATGTCCAACCTGATCCTCCCCTGGTGTTTCAGATCCTTCTGCAGAGACATCCTACCATCCAGCAGATAAACACTCCCACCAAACTTAGTGTTGTCTGTGAACTTCCTGAGGTTACATTTGATCCCCCCATCCTGATCATCAATGAAAATGTTTAACAGGACTGAATCTTGACTGCCTCAGTACTGGAATTCAGCTGCTCAGTGGGGTTTGCAGGCAGCTGCCAGTTTCCAGAAGTCATGGCTTGGATTTGTCCCAGGCTGGGTCTCTGAGCAACTTCCACCTGTGCCTCAAGCACCTTCTGCCACCACACCCCCAATTTAGAGATGCCACCAAGGGCCTGGGGATGGCAGTAAATGACACTGCACTAACATAGAGTTATTCCTCAAGTGCTTCTCTTGCTAAGGGACATGGTTTGTCTGTCCTCAGTAGCTTCATCTTATGCTCCCAGGGGATGAACAGGGAGGTGCATGATGAACACTGGTGTGCCAGTAAGGAGCTGTTGGCACAGCCCATCCTCTGAGATTGCAAAAATGGGTGGAAGTTCATCTTGGTTAAAGTTAAGCAGGGCCTCACAGAGGTGAGGACTGTAGAAGGGTGATTGCCTCTGGATTATTTGAGCTGTGGGTGTGTATTCCTGATGTCTGGGACAGGCAGAGTACTTGTTTTTAGATGATTTTGATATCCCAGCTGGCCACTTTTGTTACTCTCTGCTCAGACCAGGCAGGATGGGCTCTACTTTTTGAGCAAGGAGAGACTCATTCTCCCAGCTGTCCTTTGCAATATTTGTTTCTGTTGCCTTTTCATGTCACTATAGGGGAGCTCTGGGTGTAACATGGGAGGGAGGAAAGGTGGTCATAACACCAGTAAGGACAGAGCAGCTGTCACTCCAGCTGTGGTGTTCTCCCCTAGGTTGACCGGGTGAGCTACCTGCTTCAGGAGATCTACGGCATTGAGAACAAAAACAACCAGGAGACCAAGGTAAGGGTACCCAGGAGGCTCCCTCATCTGGGAGTTTCCTGCCTGCACCTTCTGCTTTTGAGCTTAACAATGGGGATTGTCAGGGCAATGTGGAGGTGCTTCCCAGAGTCAAGTCTGTGGCATTCCTGCAGGCCAGGAAGCCCAGGGATGGCAGATCATCCCTGGTGTCAGGCCCAAACAGTCAGTTGAGTTGTGCTGAGGTAATTTTGGGCAGCGTGAGGCTCTTGAGGATGTTCCCTGTGGCTGGGATTGCTAGGAGAGAAGGGCATCAGTGCCCTAGGGGTGTGTCAGAGCACGGATTTTTAGGGCTTGTAGAGAGCCAGTGTTGCTGTCTCTCTGCAGTCAAGGCAGTCATGGTGTCTGTGCTTTGTTCTTGTGGCTCCTTCATGTTCTGCTTGGGGGTTCTGCATGTTCCTGTAGTGTTTCAAACTGAGCTCTCTGGGGCTTGCAAGTGTTCAGAGACATTCCTCTTGCCCAGCAGAAGGGAGCACAGCACCCCTAAGGGATGTATACGCAAATGCCATAACCAGAAACATTTCCCATCTTGAGGCAGGAACTGCTGCTGGATCCCAGCCTGCTGCACAGCCCTGCACAAGGTTGTGTGACTGCTTTATTCTTCCTTTAGCCTTTGTAGAGCTGCCCTTTGCTGCCACCTGGGCTGTGGAGTGTAGCCAGTGCTGGCCTTGGGATCACACCGCTCCAGGCTGTGGAGTCCATGGTTTGCACACAGTGGAGTAGCCACAGAGCAAAACAAGCAGGATTTCCTCTCCAGTGTCCTTCCCAGAGCATCCTGTGATCCCTGTCTGCCTGTGCCAACAGGTAGCACCCGAAGAGGCAGGAGGGAAAAGTATTTTCCAAGATTTTTCTTGCACGGGATCTACTAACAGAATTGAGGGTTTCTTTTTGGGCCTACCAAGGTCTTGTGATGATTCTCGTGATTCAGCAATCCCATGTTCCTGGCCCATCAGACAAGTGGCCTGGGGCCATTTTTGTTCTTCCTCATTCAGCAAATCATGTGAGTGGGACAGCAAAGAGCCTGCTCTCTCTTCAAAAAAAGGCTGGGTGAGGATGTGGCAGTAGCACAATTGCTGTTTTTACACTGAGGTTGCCCATGTGTTAGCCCTGGTGACCAAAGGGGACCCCAGTGAAGGTGGAGAGGACCCCATCCTGGGTCATCATGGTGGGCTCTGGCACAACTCCTGTGACATCAGTGGGGAGACTGTGGAGTTTTCTGGTGTCAGTCTTGTGGCTGGAGAGTGAGTTTCTCTTCCAGCTTGATCAGTGGCTGTGATCTAATATGTGGGGCTCTGAGATGGGTATGAAGCATGTTCATGTTGAGTGGGTGCACACTGTGCCTTTTACCAGGGTAGCTGTGGGCAGGTGAGCATCCTGGCCTGGTTCTCCTACAGCTGCATCAAAGCTTGTGCCAGCACAGGGAGGAGAATCACTCAATTGCTCTGGGGATCTGTGGAAGCTGGGCTGGACATGGCTGGAATGACAGGCAGCACACTTTTGGGGCTGCTCTGTCTGTGGGGAAGAAAAGCCAGAGTACCAAAAAGTTCACTTCCCTAATGACCCTGGAGCCACCAGGATGGGAGGCAGGAGCTTGTTCCTGGTCAGCCTCAGTCAAGGGGATCCCTGCCCCAAAATGGATTCCCTCTGAATAGAACATGGCTCTGGGGGAAGACAACTCTGCCATGAATTCACAGTGCCCTGAGAGGAAGGAGTGAGAGCAGGGCTGTGTGGGTTTACAGTTTGCTTTCCTTGAGGAGCTCCTGCTGAGAGCTGCAAAAAGAGGTTTTCCAGGCTTTTGGGTGGGAAACTCCATCAGGCTCCTGTCCCTTGGCAGCTTGGCATAACCCCCACTGCTCCCATGCCAACCCCTTGCCTCCCCTTACAGCCTTCAGACGACGAGAACAGCGACAACAGCAACGAGTGCGTGGTTTGTCTGTCGGACCTGCGGGACACCCTCATCCTGCCCTGCCGCCACCTCTGCCTCTGCAACTCCTGTGCTGACACCCTGCGCTACCAGGCCAACAACTGCCCCATCTGCAGGCTCCGTGAGTGCCCTGGCCCCCTCCCCAGCTCCTGATAAGGCACAGCAGGCTGGGAGGAGCGGCCTCTGTTAAATACCCCACCCTAAGGCTCAGCATCGCACGTGCTGCTGCTCTCACTGGCACCTGGAGATTGCTGGCACCTAGAATAAATGTCCTCAGACAGGAGAGGAGAGTGGCTCTCTATCCAGTGCCTCCCTGGCCACTCACCTCACCCTGGGGTGGATCTGAAGGTGCAGGTGCTCTGGGCTGTGCCATGTCAGCAGTTCTTGTGTTTTGGTGAAGATGATGGAAAATGCCCCAAAGGGAGGGATGGAGAAGCTTTATCCTGAGAATATCTGGCTGAGAGAGCAGCCAGTACCACTGGAGGGCTGTTCAAGTACATAGCATGATTTTTTTTAATCTTCTGACAACCTTACCCAGATTTCACCAGGAGGCAGGGATGAGATAAGTCAGTTTGGAGTCTTTTGCTCTGCCAAGAGTTAGGAGGATTTACTTAACCCCTTCATTACTCAGTCTCAAAAGATGGAAGAAACTTAAATATGTGTTTTGACACTAAGGCAGCATTTGCTGAATTCTGTGCATTTTCTCAAAAGCACAGAAGCATGGGAGGCCCTTGAGAAATTTGTGTTTTTGCTGGAAGGGGCAAAGTGTGTGTTTTACCCCCTGGTCTCTGAGGTATTTGATTGCTTCTAACTGAAAATTCTCAGGGAAAGAAATAAAGAACCTAAGATGGATGTTTGGCCTGAGAAGTTAAGTCCAAACATGGCAAAGAGCAGTAACCAAAAGCAAGATCTCACCAGAGGAAGGCGCCAGACAGCTTTGACTATAAGTAGCACATTATAAAACGCCGATTGTCTCATCTGCAGGCTGTAGGAGAGTAGGTTGTGTTTGTTTGGAAAATGCCCCCATCTCAGACTTCCTGGGAATTTGCTTCTGGGGAGTGCAGAGGCAGCAAGGATAGATTTGTACCTCTGTTCTCTGGCTCTAGGCTGATCCTGAAGGGGCTGACTGCAGCAAGAACTAGGGAGATGCCTGGCAAGTTCTCACAGCTGTATCAGTACAGATGTCTGGCTCGTTTGTACGCACCCTTGGCACAGAGGAACAAGCAATATTAAAGATCTGCAGATAGAAGAGATCTGCAGGGAGTGGAGATCAAAGCTGTGGTGGTGGGAGGACTGAGGGGTGGCTGTGCTGGAGACAGTCACTAACCCTTCAGCTGGAGCCCTTTACCACTACAGCTGCACCCCAGGGCTGAGGTTTGTGGGGTCTGAAGGAACCCAAAGAGGTTTTAATGGGTCTCGCACCCAAGCTGTAGCATACAGTGCACTCCTGAGGCTGTTTTGCTTTTGAGATAAAAAACACGAGCTCATGAGGCTCCTCATGTTTTTCTTATGAAAAAAATTTCTTATGTTGCTGTGACCTACTTTTAAGGGGAATTTCTCTGGGCCTCTGCACTTGTACAGTAGCTGAAGTACCCTGTCTATGACTGCACTGGGGCAGGCAGTGCCTGTTCTCCACAAGGGCTCTGTGTACCCAGACTTGTTCAGCCAGCAGATCCCTTCCCTGCGCAGATCAGTGGACTGGAAGCCCGGCCCCATCACTTGGCTTTGGGGCGCTCCATCGCCCCACTCCCCAGGCACAGGGGAGCTCCCCCATGCCAGCAGTGTGTCTGGCAAGGCCAGGAGCTCTGGCATGGCCTGGCTCTGCTGGGCTGGGCAATCACCACCTCCTGTTCTCTCCAGCCTTCCGTGCCCTGCTGCAGATCCGGGCGGTGAGGAAGAAGCCGGGGGCTCTGTCGCCAGTGTCATTCAGCCCTGTCCTGGCACAGAGCGTGGACCATGATGAGCACTCTGTGAGTACCTGGTGATCTCTGTACAAAGCCTGGCCGCTTGTCTCAGCCTGACCAAGCAGCTAGTGGGTGCATGACTTGTTTGGACTGGTAGCTGGTGGCCCTGGGACCTCAGGAGGTTTGGTCACACCCTCCACTGAGGACTTCCCAAGCAGTGCCACCTTTTCTTATCAACCTGCTGGATTAGTAACACAACTGAATTGGAGGAAACAAATCCACAGAAATCTCAGGATGGGAAGGTTTCTTGTCTGTCCCAACAGAAAAGTGGCAGACTCTGGGCATGACAGGGTGGTGAAAACAGACCAGAGGAGTTCCAGTTTGACTTGCACACACATCTCTGTGGCAGCACATGGATGAAATGCCCTCGGCACTGGGGTTCTCCCTTGGCATGGGAGTAGAATGGCCTCCTTGTGGCAGCTTCCCTGGGTGTCTTGGGAACACATCTCAGGGTGTTAGAATAATCTGTGTGTGAGACACCGAGATTAAAATAAGGAGGAGGACAACTGCATCTAGAACATCCTACAGGCCTTCATGGGAACAGTTACTGTCACAAAAAAAGGTTGGGTTTATCCATCTGCCCCCTGCTGCCTTCAGCTGGGGATGAGGAATAGGGTGGTGGAGAAGCCCTGAGGGTTGTTGTGAAGCAGAGTGTGGCGTGTGGAGGACGCGGGCGCTGTCACCCGCAGCGAGGTGAGGAGATGCTGTGTGTCTCTTCCTGTCACTAACCTCAATAAAGAACTTCTTTAAAACATGGTTTTCTCTTGACAGCACCCCTTTAAACCCCTTAAGGTGAGCTCTGTCTCCCTGCCCAGCAGGAAGCCTAGGAGGGAAGTAAGAACAGTAAGTGGACTCGGCTGGTTGCACTTGGCAGCTCTCTGCCAGCAGTGTCACCTGCACGTGGCAGTTTTACACACAAGAGCTTGCTGACACTCTGGGTTTGGCCTGTGCCCCTGCCAGGCTATGACACTCCACATCCTTCACACTGGCAGTGAGATGCTCACACCCTGCACACATGATCACTGACATCCCTGGTTTGCCTGTGGAGGAACAAGCAAGAAGGAAGCAGCTTGGCACAGCTGACTATCAGGGACTGTCCCCTGGCTGATTTATAGTTGCTGGCCAAGATGTTTTGACAGCTTCATAGGACTGTGGGCAAGCTGCAGTCCCCACAGTTACCCAAAAGCTTCCTTGCACTTACCTCATCCCCTTGGCAGTTTGGTGTGGGCACATCTTGGTGTGGTTTGTGGTGCTGGGATGTAGAGGTGCAGCTGGAGCTGGTCTTGCATTCAGGAACATTGGCTGAATTGCTTTAATGGGAACAGAAAGGATGGAGCTTGTCTTGGCTGTGACCCTCTGAGTTGGTTTGGGAATATGTAACTGGAGTGCTGCATGAATGGCAGTTGTGGGGGTCCAGGAGCTGGGAAAGGTGAGGGAGCCCCCAGGCCAGTAAGGCTATTTGTGCCCTCTTTGTTTATTCCCATCAAATGCAGCCATGGCTGTCATCTCTGTCAAGGAGGTTGCAGTTTTCTTTTGCTCAAGCCAGCTCAGATGCTTGGCCTTTTAGGAACATGGCTTGCTGGGCTTGTCAGGTCTGGAGAAAACTGATGCTGGTTCAGGTTTGAACCCATTCTGGCATGACCTGGCTCTCTGCAAGCGTCCCACAGGGACTGTCAGTGTTCCTGGTGGTGTGGTGTGAGTGTCCCAGAAGGGAGCGGTGTCGCAGTGAGGGTGTTGTAGCCATCTCCTGGGAAATTCTCCTCCAGCCTCTGAGCTGTGCTGTGCAACCTGAGCTTCAAGCACAGCAGTGAGCAGCCTTTGAACCCTCAGGGCCTGCTCTGCACAGCCAGGAGAAAAAGTCTCAAAGAGGGATCCAAGGGGGTTTGTCTTCCTGACTTTTCTGTACTCAGAACAGTACAGCTGAGCTGTCTGCTGATGAAAAGCTTTTTGGAGATGGCTTTTGGCCCCACCACCTACAGCTGGCAGCAGCTGGGAACCCATTCCTTGTTTAGCTGAGCTGTTTATCTTCAAACCTCATAACCTCACAGGACCAATACTGGGATGTGAGTTGGTGACTGACCCCAGGTGCCACTCATTTTTTCCTCCCCATCAGACCTAACTCCTCCTGTGACTACAGGTGAGTCAGTTCAGCACTCAGCTCACACCAGATTAGTGGCTGTGTTGGAACAGGCTGCTGGGCAGGTTCATCTGTAGGTGTGACTGGGACATGGGGCACACAGAAGTTGTGGAAGTTCATGGCCAGGCTTAGCAGCACCATGCCATCCTCTGTACAATTTAGAACCACCTCCTTGAGGACACAGGGCTGAAACAGCTCAATTTAATGCAGCCTGAACTGTGGGACTGTCACCTCTTGATTTGCACCAGGCTGGGCTTGAGCTGCCTGTGGCCTCCTGGGCTGCAGCATAAACCTCATGTGCCCACAGGGTCCTTATGGTCAGGAGGACTTTTGGAGTTAAACCAGTGTTGATTTAATGGCTTTGCAAGGGTCCCTTTGACTGGCAGCTTTGTGATTTACAGAGGGAATGGGAATTGGTGTGGTTTTCCTTCCTCCTTACGAGGTCAGTGGTTCTGTGATCCCTTTCCTGCCTTTTAGCAGAGGTGACTGTGCATGGAGCCATTGTTAGCAGCTGAGAGGACATGGGAGAAGTGGAATTGGGGTAGGCCTCAAGACCCATCTCTCAGCTGGTGCAGACATGCTCCTCTCCTTCAGCTCTGCCTTGGTGACACTGGTGGTGCTGTGAAACAGCTGCATGTTCCATGGCTGGGAGCACAAGTGGGATGTTCATTGAGCTGGAAGGGTCTCTGAACCACTGGAAGAGCTTTCCGGGGAAAAAATCCAAATGTATTTTATAGCAGCTTTTTAGGAGCCTGCTTTCTCACTCCCCTTGCCCAGCTCTTGAAAGCACATCAGGGCAATGCCAAATCTCTCCAGCACTGCTCTGGGAACTTACCTGGAGCATCACCAGCATTGCAGCCCTGAGGGGAATGTGTGGCTATTGCCAGGGAAGGAGCCAAGGAGTTCTGGAGAGGTGGCTGTGGGTTTGAGCTGCCTGTGGGGCAGGGGGCTTCCAGCCTGGTGACATTTTCCTAACATCCCCCCTGTTTCTCACCCGCAGAGCTCTGACAACATCCCCCCAGGCTACGAGCCCATCTCGCTGCTGGAAGCGCTGAACGGCCTTCGCTCGGTGTCGCCCTCCATCCCCTCGGCCCCTCTGTACGACGAGATCAGCTACTCTGGGGTGGTGGACGGGATGCCTCCCACCAGCCGCCCGCTCGTGGCCATGGACAGAGCCCTGGAGGGTGGCCACCAAAAGGGCAAGTGCAGCAAGTCTCCAGACAGGTCAGCAGAGCACGGGGCCCACTCCTCATGCAAGCCCTGAGGCTTGGTGGCCACACACACTGGGAGTCAGGACAGACCTGGCTGGTCCCATCACTGCTAGCAGAGCTAACTCAGAATTTTAGGAGGCCAACAGCTACTTGTGCCAGGGACATTGTCCCTGTGTTCAACCTGAGGTTACAGCTTGTGTCTCCTAAGGGCTGGTTTTGTCACCCAGAGAAAGAGGATTTTTAACAAGGAGAATTTCATCAGAGAATCACAGAATGGTTTGTGTTGGAAAGGGCCATAAAACTCATCTCATTGCAACCCCTCACTGACAGACACCGTCCACTGTCCCAGGCTGCTCCAAGCCCTGTCCAACCTGGCCTTGGACACTTCCAGGGATCCAGGGGCAGGCAGATTCTCTGGGCACCCTGTGCCAGGGCCTTCCCCACCCCCACAGTGAAGACTTCAGGTGGAAATGTCTCCTTCCCAATGCACTAGAATTTACATTTCATGTCCAAACCTTACTGGATTTCAGCTTTCCATGGAACTCCTCAGGAGCAAAGGAATGGGGAGAGGAGTGACCTGGATTTCAGAGCACAGAGTGCTGAATTGAGATCCTGTAGTTCCTGTCTGAAGGCTCCTCTGTTGGCCCTGTGATGGAGGGTTTAGGTGAGGATAGGGGCCTGTTCAGATCAGATCAGACTGGGTTTGTTCCTGGCACTCCTCACTGTACTCCAGCCCAGATTTTCAGCTGGGAAGGGAGACCTGAAAGTGTGAGGAGCAGCGTGGGACCTGGGCCTCTTGTTGCTGTGCTGAAGTTTGGCACCACTTGGCTCTGTCCCACCCTGCTGCTGCTGTTCTCCATTTGGCCAATACTGGAGGCCCTGGCAAATTCAGCTCCCCAGTCTGAGCTCATGAGAGTTGGCTTGTGCTGCCCACAAGTCCTCCAGGCCCCAGGGTGCTGGCAGCTCCCTGCAAATGGAGTTTCTCTTGCTGCAGCACACTACGGTCTCCCTCATCCCCAATCCATGAGGAGGATGAGGAGAAGCTCTCTGAGGACTCGGACTCTCAGGCGGTGCTGAGTGGGGGTGAGCTGGTCCTGAGGGAGACGAGCTCTCCAGAGGTAAGTGTGTGCTTTGCTGCGGGGCTTCTGAGCCAGAGCTCTTCTGGGGGGGCTTCTGGGACATGGGAAGTGCCTCCTGAAGGGCCAGTGCCCAGAGCCAAGAGTCTTGGCTGCTTTATTTACCCCTAGGGCTCCATGGGGAAGGATGTAGTCAATCCCTGTGTACCTGACACCTCTTTGGGAGTGGAAAACCACTCAGCTGGAGCCATGGCAGAGCTGACCTTCCCCAGCATCCTGGGCAAGCCCAGCAGTGTTTGGGGCAGGGGTGGGAGCTGGGCCTTAGGAGCTTCCAGTGCCCATTGCTGGTAAGACCCCTCCATCCCAGCCTGTGGTGCTACAGCACTGGAACAGCCCCCTGTTCCTGCCTTGAACAAGGCCTGGCCCTGAGCACAGCTTCCTGGAGAAAACCAGAGCAGGAGAATGGCACAGCAAAGGCCTCCAGCTGCAGAAGTAACCTGTGCTCTCTCTCCTTACAGAGTGTGGCAGGTGAAGAGATGGAGGAGGCCTCATCCATGCAGCAGGGTAGGTGTGGGGGCAGCCAGACCTCGGCTCAGTGTTCAGTGCTGTTGTGGTGGGATGGGGACAACTGGGGAAGGAACAAATGAGCTCAGAAACATCCAGCCCCCTAAGTCCATCTCTGAGGCTCTGATCTTCGCCAGGGAAAGGTGCTGGGGTCTTTTCTTGGAGGTGAGGGAGCAAAATCTATGGGTCTCCTTGGTTTATTTGCCGAGCATCTCACCTTACTCTGAGCTTTACTCAAGTAGAGTTTTCTATGCCATGAGCTCTCCTTGCACCAGTGGGGATGCTACTGGGGTCCTGGTGAGAGCACATCCACAGTACTGGGCACACAGAATGGGTCTCTGGGATGGCTCTCTGGTGCTCAGTCAGCACCCAGAGGGCATAAGGTGAGAGAGGAATGGTGGGCACGTTTTGGGCCACGAGGCTGCACGTGAAGAGGTGGCACTGTGACCCGGGCCAATCCAACTCCTGGGACATCAGTGGGGCTGGTGGGGCCTGGGGAGCTTCCTCACGTGGAAGACCTCAACTCACCCTGGCCGTGACTGCCCCTGGTCCATGCTGGGGGCTGAGGGGCCGCACTCTGGGCTGGTTCCAGGTAGCCGCCCGCCCTCGGTTGAAGATGTGCTGCAGGACGGCGGCTGCGGCGAGAGCCGGAGCCTGACGCGGTCCGAGAGTGACCCCCCGGTCGACGTCTTCCTGCCAGGTAACGGCCGTGCCGTTGGGGCCAGAGCTGCCTCCGTGGCTCCAGGGCTGGGGGTGTGGGGAGCAGTGTCCCACAGCCCTAGGATGGGACTGGAACACTCCTGCCTGCTGCACGGGCTCCACTTCCTCCCAGTGGGCAGAGTGAGCGCTGGGCAAGGGGGGCTTATTCAGAGGTAGCTTGGTCCCCCTTCTCTCTCCTGCTCCCTCACCCTTGTGTCTCTGTCCTTCCCCTCCTTTCTTCTCTTTGGGCCTCAGTCACTCCTTGGCACAGTTCTGTATGACAAAGGCCTTCTGTGTGCTCCCAAATGTGCTCCTGCTTTTGGGTGAGGGAGGGGAACCACCTGGGCCAGGGGACTGGGGCAGTGTTGTCACGGTGGGGAGGGTCCCCCTGTGCCACGCCCATGGGACACTGCTGTCCTCACCTCTGACTGTTGTCATTGCAGCCTGTTTTCTTCCGTAGAGTCGCAGTCTGTTCTGAGTTACCTCTCTAATGTCTCCTTCCCTCTCTGTCTGCCTTCCTCCCTCCTGTCTTGGGCAGCACTGGGTCCTGATTCCTGCTCTGTTGGTATAGAGGAGTAAGCTGGTACGTCGTCTTGTTCTTCTTACGCATCCCTGTTGTGTGGGGCAGCAGGGCCCTCCTGGGAATGCTGGCAGAGAGTGGGGATGGGGCTGGTCCTGGCCATCGGGGCAGCAAACCAGCCAGGCTGCACTGCTGGCTCTGTCCTCACTCCCTTCCCATTTCTGGCACAGCATCCCTGCTACCCCTGAGTGCCAGGACACCAGGCAGGGCAGCAGAAACCCTTCCCCACTGGTTTCTGCTGAGCGTGGGCTCTGCTGCCTCCTGGACACCACCAACATCCTGGCCCCTGCTGGCTTCTCCCAGGCTGACAGTGTTCCCCCTCAGTGTCCTGTGTCCCACGCCTGACACTGAGTCTGCATCTGAGGGGATGAGTGGTTGGCTCCAGCCCCATCTCCCGTGGTCAGTCCAGGGCAGGAGGGACGGCTGAGCACGCAGCCACGGCTCTTTGCCTCAGGGCTCCCATTACTGAGGCTGAACTCCATCTCCTCACCCAGGCTCGTCCGACTTCAGCAAGACGCTCCCCGTCCGCGGCACCGGCAGCCCCACGCAGCCCCTTCTCTTCGAGCAGACCCGTCTGCACCTGGAGGACGAGCAGAGCCTCTCGTGAGCGGGGCCGGCCCCTG